AGAGAGAGAGAGAGAGAGAGAGAGAGAGAGAGAGAGAGAGAGAGAGAGAGAGAGAGAGAATAATTGGGGAGAGGCTGTTCCTAAAATACACATTTGTCAAAATTTTCTAATCTCAAATCTAAAATTGAATCTCCAGGCCCAACCTAAAGGATACAGGGAAAGGGCAGCTGACGCCACAGGAAACCAACGTGTTACAACTGGAAAATGATACTCAGTACTTGACGGTGGAGGTCTGAATAAGCTCCGCCCAGGGAGAGCCACTATTTGGAGGTGTGGCCTTGTTGGAGAAAACGTGTCACTGTCAGGATGGGCTTTGAGAGCTTCCTCTTAGCTGCAGGAGGATGCCAGTCTTCTGTCTGCCTTTGGGTCAAGATGTTGAACGTTCAGCTCCTCCTGCACCATGCCTGCCTGGGCACTGCCATGCTCCTGCCTTGATGATAACAGACTGAACCTCTAAGACTGTAAGCCAGCCCCAATTAAATGTTGTCCTTATAAGAGTTGCCTTGGTCATGGTGTCTATTTACAGTAATGAAATCCTAAGACATTGACCTAGTTTCTTCAACTGGTCAGAAAAAAAATGCAGTAGAAGACTTCCTTAGGTCAAGTCAATTAAGACTGTACATCATGAACCTTATCTGAATCACTCCTTAAGCCAGCCAACTGGACGTTGGAAATTAAAACAACTAAAACTTGTTGGAAATTTCCTGGTGTCCCAATACTATTTTGGTTAAGTAAAATGTTTGACTTGAAAGTCTTTTTGTCCAGGGGGTATGATAGAGTCCACATATTGGGATAGACCATACCTCCTGACCAGCCTGAACCCCAACCTTCCAGAAGGAACAAGTCACTCTCTCCCGGTTCTGTGTGGCACCCGACACACAGTGGCATTTCCTCTTCTAAACAGTGAGCTCTCTTGGGATAAGGACTTGGCTTCAAATCGTTACGCCCGAGATGTAGTATATGTTACAAATTCTAGTAAACCTCTGAATGCAGCCTGCTCTGAAAATCCCTAATCTGTGCACAGGACTGTTTCACGGCTGTCAGTTTTAACATCTCTCAATCTGCACACAGAGGAATTTGAGTCATACATAAGGATCAGTGCCGGAAGCCTGTGAGCACTGGTTCAGGACAGTGCCTGGTAATAATAGGCAGGCAACAGTTTTGTTCATATGGTTGGGCTGCTAAACACTTATTTGCAGCTAAGTGCAGCTGCATCAGTCTCGGAACCCTCAGATGCAGAGGTGGATAAGCCCCAGGTTTCAGCCATGGTAGACAGGTGTTTCTACCTAGTCCAGACACTCGGCAGCTCCTGTTACTATCCCAGGCCGATAAACCCAACTGCAAGATGTGCATCCAGACTGGGCTGCACTCCGTCCATCCCCTCCCACAGTCATAGAGTCCCTTCATCTGTGTATGTGTCATCATCCGATTGCCCTCTCAACCACACCCAAGTAATGTTCAAAGTCAGTGACCAATGGACTTCCATTCAGTTGAGTTACTGCATGCAGTTACCCCTTAGCAGAACTGGTTGACGACACTGGGTCGGGGTGGAGAAGAGGCGGGGCTGGACTCTGTGGTCACTGCAGTCATTCTGCTCTGATGTGTCCATGACAAGAGCTACACTGGTATTTTATGATTTCATATCACTTTGGGAAGCAGAAAAGGGTCAAAGGACTACAAGTCCCAATAAAGATTCTTGACTAGCATGTTGGATTTGGCATTGCTTTGAAACATTTAAGATTCATGAAAATGTTGAACTAACTAACCCCCAAGAGTTGTGTTAACCCAAATATGTGTCACAGGATACTGCACACAGACACACACATACACACACCTCTTTTGTAATTCTAAGTATATTCCCTTGAATTTGGTTTTGTTTATTCTGATGTCAAGGCACCCAGATACCTGGCGCTCCCACTCCCTGTCCTGTTATACACTGCATATATAACTTAAGTACAACACTCAGATACAACTATACCAATGACATGGAAGAAACCTGGAAACAAGTGGCTCAAAATGAGCTCTTCTCCCTCCCTGGCGCCTGTCATCCTGTCCCCAGCTTCTTCGGAAAGTACAAAGCAAGAACATGGGATATGAATGTATATGTATACACGAGTATACATGTACATGTACACATCTTTCAGTATCTTAGCTAAAGATGGTACATTCATACAGCCATTGACAGTAACATGTGCAACACACCATGCCAGATAATTTAGAAACAGCAATGGAAACTGAATACACAGCATTCCATTGACTACGTGTTTGAACATGTACCCATACATACACAGGTCTGACAGGATATACAAACTCTATGGGTGATGGAGTCATGAGGAATTTACTTTCTTGTTTGTGCTTTCTAATACTTTCAAAGTAACAATTCTTTCTACTGCTAAAACACCTTTTAAAACTTCAGAAATGTATCATTACATATATAAGGAACACTTCCAGGTTCCTAACTGGTTCTTTCCAGTCCTCCTAATCTTAATTCAATGATGTCCTTTCAGGGAGACTTCCTCTACCACCCCACTTACACTTGTACTCACTAACCTCCCTAACTGACTGTGCTCTGGGTATGGGGTGCTGTGTTAGCACACAAGCTTGCTGAGGTGTGGGTGTAGTCCGTGTTGTCCACTGCTGCGTCCCTGCATGCAGCACTGAACAATACCTGATACACAGTGGGCATTTGTGATATGGTATCTGCTGACATAATGCATAAAAACACATCTGTCTTACAAGTTTTGCATTTATTAATAAGAAAACTTTGACATTCAGTGTAAAATAACTTAAAAAAATGTCCTGTCTCTTACTAGGGGGACCACTAGGGAAGCTGCTAAAAGCTCCGAGACTTTTCTTCTGACTCCTAGCCCTTTGTACCCATCTTCCACACACATAAAATTAAATACAACTTCAGGAGACTCTGAAACACCTACAGCCTCGCTAAAGCCCACACAGAGAGCAGCTGGTTTAAAGGATGTTCTGACTCAGCACAACAACTTTTTGCCTATTCTGGTGACTCAGAATATGTGTGACTCAGACCGAGTCCTTCTCCGGTTCCAGTAACTGGCTAGAGGCTGAACAGGTCTCTCTTACATAGGACTCGCACTGCTTGGATTGAGTTAGCTTCGATATTAGCACATGAGTACTAGAGAAACATCCAGATGAAAGGCAAAAAAAAAAAAAAATGTGATCAATAATACATATTTTAAAAAAAAATAAATGAATAAAGCTGTCACCACAGGCAGGAGTAACAAATACCAAAAATGCCTGGTAAAGTGAGTATATCCCTTGTCAGCTGACAATCTGAAACAGAAAACAGCAACTATTCCATAGAATATGCCTGCCTGAGTTTTATTCTTTAAATAGCAAAATAAAAGGAATACTGTGTGTCTACTACTAAATAGGAATCTAATACTCTGTAACAAAGACCACCCAGCTAGAAACAGAAAGTTCGATGACTAGGACAACAACCGCAGTTTGACTTTGAGTTTTATTTCAATGGGCACACTTCATTCATTGTCTAAAGGAAAACCAGGCTAGGTCTCGATGGGCAACAGTCACAGTTCTTAGGAAGCCAATGCAGCGCCACTTCCGTACCCTCCTTTACTTCTTTATGTCTTCAGCCTCGTCCGGCTCTCTCTCCTGATGCTCTCTTTCCCACCTCATTTCTTTTAACTCTTGTCTGTATTTCCGTTCAATGAACCGCTTCTGATGAGCCATCTGGGGAAAGTTATCTGACACAAGGAGAGAAGTGTAATACTTAATAAAGGATATCCATGGGTGCAGAGACAAACAAACACGCACGCAGACCAACATGTAATCAGTACACATACAGAACTGTTCTTATAAAACGGAGACTGAGAATGATTTATTTTCTTTTTACTCTTTTGTTATGCACACACACACACTAGAAGTCTGGATTGGCGTCTCAGATTCTGATTTCAATTATCTGACGTATGTAAGACAGAGTAAAAACACCAAAACATACAGTAACTTAAGACATAAGGTTCTGGAAGGTTTCCAAACAGGCAGGTGCTTTAAGCAGCATTCTCCACGTCGAGTGACTTCCAGGGAGACAGAAAGAAGGGAATGTGGGGGTTTATGGCTTGGAAAAGCACAAGCTAAAAGCTTCCAGCAATGCTAGCATAGCCATGATTACGAAGGAAAGTTTTCCAGAAGAGCAGAACCGTATCAGGCACAAGGAAAGCCACATTCTAAGTCCCCATGTCCGTGATCAACTCTATCTTTAGTGTACCATAAAAGGGCACAGCTCTATCTGCACAGGTAAGTCATGTGGAGACCGTTGACGGATAAAGAGGGCTGTCACTCAGTGGTGCAGTTAGGCTATATTTAGTGTGAATCTGACCCTGTGTAACAAAGAGACACAAGGAAAATCTGGACTAAGATTTAGAAACCCTCCATTTCTCTTTCCACATGCAGCACAGTATCAGTGTGACCATGCACTAGGAGATCAAGCACGGAGTGAGAGACAGTCATTGTGTCCTTAGCCAGCAAACACGCAGACAAAGTTCATAAAGGACACCCGCTATCTGGCAACACCACAAGAAAGGACACGGCTCTGCCTGGCCAGCTAAGGATTATTCTGTATTTCACACATGAAGAGGGAAGGGAGGGGGCGTGGCTTGCAAAGGAAAGCAAGTCCGTTGACTTGTCTGCTGTGTGGAAGGAGTGCGATGAAGTGGGTCTGTCTATATGCACCGGGTCCTCAATTCCTTTCTATAATGTACCCTGTCTTCACTATTGGTTGGTGACAGCGACAAAGTGGAAAGAGCACTTGGAAGAAAGCAGTAATACTGAGTCCTTACACACTGCATACATTTTAACTTCAAATACTGTAAGTGCTTAAAAAAAACCTTGTCAAATAAATCCCCAGAACTCCATTTTAAGGCAAGTTTATGCTAAACAGGCTCCATTTTTTCAGTAGATTTTACTGTGTAACTGAGTTTGTACTAAAAAGTCCTACTGTTCACATCTATCCACGAACAAGCACTCAGAACGACTCTGTTCAGAAAAGTGTTACGACATTATGTAGTGACATACATAAGTGTACGTATGTTTTTATGTATATACACATATGCTATATAAATGGTGAAAATCTTTCCACTCTCCTCCCCTACACTGCTATGTATTGATAGATATAATATTTTCCTTTATTTCAGTACAAGCATTTCCTGTAGCTCCATATTAGTCTCCAACAGCATTGTTTCAATAGATACAAACATATCACATTTGGATATTATTGCCACTAAGCCAAATACAGCTCTCAACTGATTTCTGTAAATAAAACGGACATGTGGACATTTGATACCACCTGTGTCTATGTACCACAATGTCAGAATTTGTTGTAACTGAGATTATGACCCAGGAGCCTAGATACATGCAGCTGGTCCTTTACAAACGTGTCTACTGATCCTTGGGACAGCATTCCCTGAGATGCAGTCACTTACTGTTAATGTGCTGTTTCATTTTATTTAAATATTATGCTATCATAAATCAGGTGGCCGTGATTACTGCAGTATGTGAGCTGTGTGGCTCAGAAGCCAAGTGTTTCCTTATGTTGGATTCCTAGAAATGGAATCAGGACCGAAAAGTAAAATCTTTAAGGAAGGGACATAATGCCAATTTACTCTCCTGCATTTAAGCAATCAACTCCTAGCATCCTTTGGGGAGGATGTCTGTCTCAGAAATAGTCACTTTTCCAGCACCACTTTATAGCTGACTATACGCATCAGAAGAAGGGGTGGACTCTATTGTTATAACTAGAAAAAAAAATCCCACTCTCCTTCAATAAATGAAGGTGGATTTATACAATCAATGAAAACATTCTCCAAAAAAGTCAATGTGAAACTCTCAGTGTAGATTCTATGGATGCTAGACCCTGGCAGCACTGGTTTCTGTCCTCACTGACTGCCCTCCCTGCCTCTGAACAGTAAGCCACTGTCTGCTGATTTCCACTTGGCTAGAGGCCCTCTAGCCTCTTCTGGAACCCCTCTCAAACTTGAGAATCCTGGGACACTTCAGTATGAGCCTGTGTACTCACTGTCCCCCACTCCTTTAGCTGGCGTTTGAAGCACTGGGCATATTGTGCCTACAGGTTCTTCTGAGGAGCACAATACACCTCAGAGAAGACCGTCCTGTCCTCATGCCTTCAATTTACAAGACTAGGCAGGCAGCTCTCCACCGTCAACTATGCAACTGAAGACTCTTCAAAATGGATTTCACTCTTGAGACAATCCATCTTCAGAATTAAATGCACCACAATCTAGACATTTATTGTAGACACTGAACACACACGCAGTCTCTCTCAGTCTCTCTCTCTCTCAGTCTCTCAGTCTCTCTCTCTCTCTCTCTCCCTCCCTCCCTCCCTCCCTCCCTCCCTCCCCGCAAGCATAATAATAAGAAAATAATAAGAAAAACAAAAAATGAAACATAGCACATCCACAGTAGGTTATGGTTATAGCATACAACTATTAAGAAAGACTGAATTGAAGCCATTCTCTATGATCTATACATGTATGCAGAAGTATGTAGTTACCATCTCACTTAAGACAATGATTAAAAACTAAACAGAAAAACAAAAAAGCAAAACAACTTCCCATGTGTACATTTATCCCTACATAGGATTTTTTTTTTCCAGACAGGGTTTCTCTGTATAGACCAGGCTAGCCTTGAACTCAGAGATCTATTGCCTCTGCCTCCTGAGTGCTGGGATTAAAGGCGTGTGCCACAATACCCAGCTTTCATAGATTTTTTTTTTAAATTTTTATTTCGTTTGTTTTGTTTTGCTTTGAAGTGAGCTCTCATGTGGCCCAGGCTCACCTTGATCTCATAGTGTGGCTTCAGGTGACCTTTACCCCCTGGTCTCCTGAATCTATCTCCCAAGTGCTTGAATTACAAGGCACTTAACTATAGAAGTATGGAGAAATATCATCGGAAACAGAAGGCCACTCTCGGAGGGGCCTATGCTGAGTAGAAATGTAAACCACGTTCAGGTCAGGACTGCCTTCAAAATTTACAATCTGCTTTATATGTAGTACATACTCTACTGTACGCTGTATGGAGGAAAATTATTAACAAAGTAAGATCGCATTTTATCAGAACTTAACCATGCCCCCACTTCCTTCATATTCCTTCCCTAAGACACGCGTCACACTGTGAAGGTGTAACTACAGAGAGAGCCAGGCTTACATTTCTCCAGCGCGTCCATTGCTGCTCCCATCTCTGCCTGCTGGATGCTGTCGGATAAAATAAAGGGGGGGTAGACTTGAAACAGTTTCTTCTTCAAAAACCACAAATTATTAATGCTGATTTTCATATCTCCTGCATAAGATTTCACGTGATGACTTCCATCACACACTGAATTGCACGGCTAAGAATACACACAGGAGCATGCAGGAATGCCTTGTATTTACACAAAGGCTCTTTAAAAGTATTGGTTCCACACCAGTTCTGCAATGGAATACCTTCCGTTTATATTAGGGCTGAAGCATTTCTTAGGTCTGAAATACACCATGTAAAGGTTAAACACGAAAAGGATAAAATACAGGGAGAGAGACACGGGCAAGACATAGATTATATATGTAACTCTTTTTCCTATATGTGGTACGCATGCCCACAAAGCTTGTGTGATAGGAAAGGAAGTGTAGACTAAGGCTGTCACGCTCACAGTACACCTCACATATCTGCTGAGGCTGAACTCAGATGGGACTGACTTGACATTAGTCCTCGGTATTCATTTTGCGATAACTGAAGACACTCCACATTCTAATCTTGCTACAGAGACTGCAGAGGTAGGAACTGCCAGGGAGGAACTTTCCTGTGCACAGATATATACTCCATGAAATTCAGTGTTTTCTTCTCATACCTTGGTCCTTTCCCACAGCCTATCCTTTCTCCCTTGAAATAAACAGCCACAGTGTAGGTTCTAGCGTGGGATGGCCCCACTGTCTGCAGAGTCCTGAAATGAAAGAACATTAATTATGATACAATGCTCAATTATTTTGCTGTTATAGGAACTGAGAAAAAAAAACCCAAAACAAAAAACTTTATTCTTACTGCCAGAAAGAAGAACGTAAAAATAACAAGAAATATGGAAAATGGAAGTGATTCAATTTTTGATTTGCTAACCTAACAAAATTTAGAGCTTTAAAATAGGAAATTAAAACAACAAAAAAAGGGTATTGTAGTTTTATATTTTTCGAAAATAGGAAGAGTACCTGAGGGCTCACAGTTAAGTATGTGATACTTTGAAACAACTTCTATGTGTGGGTATTCTAGTACCACATAATAACAAACTTTTATTATGAAGAGTGGAGGGCTTTAGTTTGTTATTTTACAATGCTTATCATAGCTAAAAGCAATAAATGGGTAATAACACCTTGAGACACGCCTGAATGGTTTCACACCCTTTATGGACTCCATCTAATGGTTAGTATTTTACCTAAGAGATCAGAAAATATATTTAATTTCTGAAACATCTGTGATCATTTCAGAGATATGCTATAATGGCAAGCCTATAACACAACCACTAAAAAAACAAAGCTGCAAGTACTCTGGATTTGATGACAAGGTGCAGATTTCAAACGTAAGAAAACCTGATAACTCATGGGAAAGGGAAATTAAAAGTAGCCAAGAATGATAACGGGATAAACACAGTAATCAGGAAGATCACGTAAAGCAACCTCACCATCTTGATAACAAAGAACAAAGCCACCATGTACTTTTGGGGGACGATTTATGGGCAGAGAATACAGCAATTTCCTTTCTGTTTACATACTCAAGGTGCATATGGTGGCTTAAGGTGGTACTCACTAATCATCCCTGTGTTATAAGACAGGCACCATCTTTATATCATTGACCCTTAGTAATCGCCTCGATGGGGAAACTCTTTGATGCTCATTACGCTTATTATGATGCAGATCAATAAGTTGTTTCTATTTAGGGATTTTCTCCAATAAAGAAAGCAGTTTCATACTGACAGCTTCTTGCTATAAGGTGACTAGTCTTTTGGCCACTGTTTTGCTAGTGCACAAAAGCTTGTTAACTGTTGTGACTTTTTTTTTTTTTAAATATTTTTAAGTTAGAAAAGTCTTTCGGGAGGAGCACACTTGCACAAATGGACAAATGGGTGTGTTAGAATCTTCTGTTCCCAAAGGCACGGAGCAAACAGTACAGAAACTGGACTTTTTTTTAATTAATAAGAAATACGTATGTGTGTACATGTAGGTGTGTCGGAACACAGTCCAAGGACGGAGTCATGTAAGAATTCTGAGTGCTTGTGAGAAAACTCAAAAAAAAAAAATAAGAGTCTTGTGACTTCAAAACACAGAACTGTTTTTGGAATATGTCTTCATGTTCCTCCCAGGTGTAGCCGATAGGAGAGTGAGTTTGCGTCAGTTGTTGTTACTCGTGTACCTCTATGGAGGAAAACAATGTTTTTGCCATGTGAGGCTAGTCTTTGAGATTGAACATCTTACTCATGTGACTCTTCTTAACCCCAGAGTATAAACTGTCTGATGCTCTGAATAAATTTGGCCACTGCACGAGACTTTAGCCTGGCTCGTTTTCAGGCCCCACCCTCTCAGGTTCGTGCTGACAACTAGACGTAAACGCGTGCAGGTGCCCAGAGGCCAGAGGAGCAAGTGATCCCTGGAGCTGGGTTACAGGTGGTTGAGAGCGGAGTGCGGGTGCTGGGACCCGAACCTGGGTCCCCCTGTGAGAGCAGCAAGTGTTCTTAACTTCTGAGGCTTTCTCCAGCCCAACGTAACTAGATTTGTAACCATCCCTAAAACAGTATCAACAGTACCTTGAATAGGCTGCCATGTACTCTAAGCATTCTTTACTTTGTGATTCTCAGTTCACACCTGAATGTCAGGAATAGAAGGCAACTTTTGATTCCGATTCCAGGAAAAGCAAGCACTTGAGTAACAAAGTAGCAACAGTAAACATTTGCTCCATTCCTCTCCAGCTTGGGAGACAGCCTTTCAGATAACAGAGGCCAACGGGCTCAGGGGAAAGTATAAGTAGAACCCAAATATTGCTAGGAACTACACACAGTCTATTACTTCTACAGGAAATCAGACAAAGAAAGCCTATATAAAAGAACTACTTCACGTGGGGGGCTCAGAGATAGGTAGTTCAGGGGATAATAGCACTTGCTGCTCTCACAGAGGACTCAGGCTGGATTCCTGGCACCCACATGCAGAGATCACAACTATGAATACATCTTAAAAATCAACAAGTACTACAAGTTTAAAATTGCTATACCTTGATCTTATATCTTAGTGTACCTTTGTGCCAGGCAGTAGATCAGAGAAATTTACACATGGGAGAAAGCAGAAACAATCCGGGTGCACCCACTTATAGCTAGCTAGGACAGAGCACTTTAGAGCTTAGCTAGTGTCACGAGAAGTCCCTGCGTTCTCCTTTAAGCACATGAGGGCTACCTAGGCACACTGCCGACGATGGCTGGCAGACAGCAAGCACTTACTTGTATAAGGGGATGTCTGGCTCTTTCCCTTCTGTCCTCAGGGTCAGGCAGCACTGCTGCAGCTGCGACTTGGGGTCATTCCAATCTTGATTCAGAATGAACTCCTGTGGGAATCCCCCAAAGCATTGAGTAGTGTGTTTCAGAGCCACCGGAAGGAAAGCGTGCACTGATGGGAATGTGCGGGCTTACCTTCAGCCGAGGAAAGAAGCAGACATTCATGAAGGTGTGAACGTATTCCAAGTCCTTGTCGATGTACAGCGCTGCGATAAATGCTGAAGAACAAACGTGAAATGGGTAACTCGCCGTTATTTACCAGACACGGCGTGAACTGAGGGTCCTTCCTTATTCATCTCTATAGGTATGGATACCTCATCTCTATAGGTATATACGTGTGCCAACACGGGTGGCAGGAACAGAATGTGGGTCCTATGTGCTGGTAAAGGTTGAGCCATCTCCCCAGCCATAAGGGCTGTAAGCGTTTAAGGAGTATTTTCACAAGGCTTTTGACTTCTAGACGCTCCTTTCTTTTAAGCACAATTATTTCTTTTCTCTTCAAATAAAACTGCACCCTTTATCACTCCTACCAGAAGCACCAACACAGACGTGTGATTAAGATGAAAAAACTCACAGAAAAGACGGCAAACTGCCCTTAGCCAGTGGCTAATGCTGTGACCCTTTAATACAGTCCTTTATGTTGTAGTGGACTACCCCGCCCCAACCATAAAGTTATTTTCATTGCTGCTACTTAACTATAATTTTGTTAGTGTTCGATTGTAAACACATTGTGGTCGTAGGCGACCCCTGTGAAAGGCTCACTGGACCCCCAGGTTGAGAACCACTGGTCTAAAGTCTACACCAATACTGTAGTGTGGAACAGGGGTGGGACCCGAGAACATAACCGAGTTAATCTTCTAAGAAGGGAACTGGAAACACCAGCTATGGAGCACAGATGATGCAGGGGCAAGCACATCCCACCTGCATCCTGAGACCACTCATGGGTACAGGTTCCATGAAAAGTTTCATAGCCAGAGAAAGAAGTGAGAAAATTCAGAGATTTGACCTGCCCAAATTAAGAAAAACAATGATAACACAATAATTTATGTAACTGAATTAATAAGGGACAATTCCAAAGATGGACTCACTTAAAAGAATTTTAGCCAAGAAGACAACTGGTGCAATTATTTGAAAGACTCCAAGAACCTTTCATTGAACTAAAATAAAAATGGCAGTGATCCAATCACTCAGCTGAGTTTTACTTCCCTTCAGGTGCCTTGGGTGGTCTGCCTTTATAATCCATAAGTAAGCTGGCTTGCACAGTAGGCTTTAATATTTCACATAATTCCAATTCTGAAAAATACTATAACATAAAAAGCTCTAAGGCCCAGAGAATATTCTAGTTCTTTTGAAGTAATATTAGAAATAATAAAATTATGTGTGTAATCCCTTAATTAGCTATAATGGAATTATTTATGCTTCCAGACCATATCAGAACATGAAAAAGATGGTGGCTGTTTAGAGAGTTTTGTTCACACTCAAAACAATAGGTGGCGATTTTGGTATTTAGTGAATAAATTATCTTTTTTCCTATGTTCCTTTATGAAGAGTGCTGGGTAGCAAAACCAACCAATCAAACAAACCAAACCCACTACTGTGATTCGGAATGACTAATCTTGACATTGTGTTACTGTTTCAGACAAAGGACTTGATGACTTAGAGACAGGACGTGGGACACGCAGCCACCCCTGAATACAGATTGAACAACAGAAACATATTATTCACATGGCTTAATGAAAAGCAAAAATAAGTAAAAAATAAAAACAAACAAGGTCACTTAGACAGATGTGGTCACCCAAGCCTATAATGTCAGGAGATAAGAGGCAGGGGCGACCCAGGAGGTCAAGGTCACCTTTGACTACACAGGAATTTCAAGGCTAGCCTGAGCTATACAAAACAAAAGAAGTAGAAAAACAGAGAAAAGAGGTTCTTTAGCTAGAGCAACATAATCTTTATCATCACCATCATCATTAAAGAGTAAGCAAGCTCTAGTTGGTTTAATTTAAACCTTGGACCTGCCAGTTAAAAGGCTTCACACTGTAGGTAGCTACGACTTACACTCCAAAAGGTCTGCCAAAGTCTTGGTTCTTAGGGCCACGGGCCTCTTGGTTTTGTCGTTGGTGATGGCATACTCTTGCATGCCCAGTTCCTCTGCCACCTTGGCTTGAGTTCTGTTGTTCACTAAGGAACTTCGCAACAACTGGTAAAAAGGAAATGTCGTACGGTTAGAAAACCGATCAGCTCTGGTCTCTCTCCTGCTCTTGTGTTGAACCCAACCACTCGACAGCATGTCATGAAGGGATAGCAGATATATGACTGTCTAAGTCTCTATCCTCGGATGACTGGAACATACTGTCTCCTTAATGGCTCACCCACCCCGTTACCTGGATTTAACGGAGCAGTTAGATACCCAGTTACTTATTTAGTAGCACCGAGGAGGATTTTGGGAGGGGATACCCAGCAATCTTACTAAGATATGATTACTGAAAAGCTCAAAGCTACCAGGTCAGGAAACATTAAAACTTTAAAAAGTCATTTTACTTAAATATAATTTATATTCAGTAAATTATATTCCTTTTGTGTTCAATTAGATACATTTTGAAAACCTTACCCATTTTTACTACCCCAAACAAATTTCCCATATTCTGAAATAATCAGTCTTCACCAATGATTACAGAAGACATCCATCAATCAAACCTATGCTTAAAGTTGTCCACAAGAAGCATATTTCATGACACACGTCCTAATTCTGGTGCTACATGACTTAGGGAAGAGATGTTTCAATATTATTAAAACACCTATTTATTTATAGTGTCGTTATTGTCAAGACTTACATTACATCCCCTGTATCTCAGTCTTCTCATACTCAGACCCTTTATCTTTATTTATATTCTAGGTATGTGCTATGTGCATACATGGGAAAGCCAGAGGATGCTGGACTTCCCAGAGCGAACCATCCCCAGAGCAAGCCGCAGGGAGCCTCCCCACAGAGGTACTGGGGACAGAACTCAGGTCGTCTACAGGAGCAGCAGGCTCTTTCAACCGATGAGCCCTACCCCACATTTCAATTTATTTATAGATTTCAACCTCAGGAATTCAAGACAGAAATGTCTACTAGGAGTTTGGGACTACTAACAGCCCTCCAAGGACGATTCACATGGTAATGTTAGACACTGCCTAAACATCATATAACTGATCCATTACAGTGTCCCTAAAACAAGCCCACTGTAAGCATTTAACACACTTGGGAAGAGAGGTGGGACAGGAGACTAGGGAAGCAGGCAGATTCCACGATGGGAAATCACCAAACTTTAAAAAACTGACATAATTTACCCCCGATCCCTAAAACTCAGGGGACTAATGTACTCGAATCTATGTTTCCTTACCAGAAGCATAAACAAACAGTTGGCTTCCTGAACACAGGACAGGCGGAAGCAGCTGTGAGTCACGCTGGCATTAGAACCGCCACTGTTCCATAGAGCACTGTGTTTATTAGATGCAAGCTTTATGCTCTACGGCTCCGCAGTGTCAACAAAGCTTATGAAAATCAAGATTTATTCTCAGTGCCTGATAGTGAGTCCTTGACAATAGATAAATAAGGAACAATATGTTCTTAATTTGTCTGACAATGATTCATGAAGCAGAAACACAACTTGATCTCCATAAGCTTTGCTTGAATTCAATCTTAGACTGTAACTCTTTCCCTGCCTCTGTTCCATTTTCAGTCCCAATTCCCCCTTAACTGCTACAGTTTCTCTTCAGTACACTGGTTCTTGAAAATTCATATACATATAAACTCACAAGGCAATGTAACAATTAAAAGGACAAATGTGACATGACTAGATGACCCACGTCACCAACTCACAGACTCCATGAGCGGGAAGTGCTATCTCTTTCTGTGGTTTGGATTTCAAGTTGAAACAGACCCCATACGTTTAGGGCGGTTATTCTGGGAGGATGGTGATGCTGAGCATGCTGAATCCACGCTTTGGGTAAGGAGGGACGCTCCACGGGCTGTGGAAATGGCGTGTTCAGGACCAATGGCCCGATGTGAACGACAGCACACAGCAGTGGTGACACACTGCTGGCCACCAGGCCTAGGCTGCCACCCTCCAGCGTCACAGATCCTCCTTCAGTGCCACCTAGTAACACTGTGACCGAAGGGAAGCAGTGTGGATGGAGACAAGAGATGCTTGAACCAGTCTTGCTGTAAGACAAGCCCTGGCAAGTCTTAGAGCAGTGCGGTAGCTAAAACTGAGGTCTGTTAGGTTCTTGCCAACAACTCAGAGTAAGAAGCAAGAGTCATCGAGGAGAAGACACCAGTGATTATTAACCTTACTTCTATAGTCCACTTAACTTTGGAACGTGAAGTAAAATGAGGTAAGACTTTGCTCTCTACTTAATCATGAAAGCCCAAATGGAGGTTCATTAAAGTGACAATTTCCATCTGTGTCCTCAGCTGAATTCAACTTCAGAATAAATCTACTATTTGGCAAATCATGGGTACAGAGAGGCTCGACAACAGAAGCAAAGCCTGTGAGGTTCTGGGGCTCGCGCAGTGGCAGTGCAGGCTGACTATTCACCAGGTCTGTGCTGAGAGCTGAAGGAACAGCATCCTTTTTAAAGTGCTTCAGAAGGAACCCACGCCTAAGAAGCCACACGCACATCAGCCGCAACAATCACCGTGCTGACCAGGATGCAAGCACAGATTCGGGGACACACAGCTGTTCCTCTTAACCAAGCTGTCCAGAGAAGGTGACCTAGGAAACTCCTCTCAAAAACATTCTAGTCAACTTCAATACTGAGGTCTAAGAGACTTCTCCAGTATTGGTACCCAACCACATTTCTCCCAAACACCAAGGGATCAGAATTTTGAACTCTGAACTTGGGATGCTTGCTTTTTGAAAAGGTTCATGTAGGTTCTGATGAGCATAGAATTTGACCTAAGAAAGGCTGGGGTGGTTAATGGGGAAATGGCTGGAGAGGGTTTTATAGGAAAATTAAAAATAGTGGCAAAAGTATGGCCCATAATATAGCAATGTGACCATAGTGGGAACCAGGAAAAAAAAAAAATCAGAGCCAAGAGACGGAAGGAAGTTAAATGTCCCTGCAGAAAATAAAAAATCCCCAGGGGCGTGGGGGTGATACTATAATTGCTATTTTCCACAGAGGTGTTATCTACAGCAGCATCAGTACTGGGTAAGGTTTGCTTGCTCCTCAATTATAGGGAAAAGATTCTAGAAAGCTTTAGAATCCTTCTAGTTTTTATTTTAATACAAAACCTTCTAGATATCCTTTTCCTTGCTGCCTTCCAAACCCTCCCCTTTACCAAATAGTAATCTGTCCCTAACAACCTTCCTCTCCCTCACTGAAGTTTAATGTTAAATCAGAAACAGGAAAGAGAAGTACAGCTAAGGCCTTTGTAAACCTGACAAAGGGACTGTTGATCCCTGGTGAAATGACAACGGCCAGTACATAGTCCAAATCTCAGATTCTGGTTTTGAGACGTCAAGATGTTCCTACAGCCTCAACAGAGACGCCTCCCACAGTTACTTTAAACTTAAATTTCCATAAGAACATGAAGATTGATATTCTCTCTTTAATACTCTTGGTCCTAGGAAGAAGCCATAGTGTGGGACATAAGCTACCCAAGAGGGCCACCTAGTGTAAGGCGAAGGGACAGATTTATTATTTTGAGGACTTTAATAGAAGACAGTGGAACGAAAGCGAAGTATATATATAATTAAAATTGACAGCGATATGCCACACAGGTCTTTTATACCCAGAGTGGTGGCTAGATGGTCTCCATTTCCCATGATAACTAAAGAAAAGGCACACAAATGATAGCCAGTAGAATGCAGGTCAGACACAAGGAGCCAAATTATGTCAGTGATAGAGAAATCCTCTGCCGGGAGGCTGGGGAATCCATCTTCTCAGAGCGTGGTTAGATAGGGTACCTGCCTGCCTGGATGATTTATACTCTCCGCTGTCAGGAGGCAGCAGGGCCGGATGAGATCACCGCTTCTCAGGCGTGTTTGTAATCCCTGCTCTCTCTCCTACCATCTCGCACCGTTCCTCTAAAATCAAGCAAAAACACTTCCACAAGTTCATCTTGCCGGTGCACTTCACCCGTGGACACAGCGCCTGACACACAGAATGAGCAGCTCCTGCTAGCTCAGGAGTGGAGCGAAAGGCTCATGTCCCACACTGTGGCTTCCTCCCAGAACCAAGAGTATTAAAGGAAGAATATCAGTCTTCGTCTTCCTACGAAAATTTAAGTTTAAAGTAATTGTGGGAGGCGTCTCTGTTGAGGCTGTAGGAACATCTTGACGTCTCAAAACCAGAATCTGAGATTTGGACTATGTACTGGCCATTGTCATTTCACCAGGGATCAACAGCCCTTTTGTCTGGTTTACAAAGGCCTTAGCTGTACTTCTCTTTCTTGTTTCTGTTTAAAATTAAACTTCAGTGAGGGAGAGGAAGGTGGTTAGGGACAGATAAGTATTTGGATGTAGGAAGGGAACAAGTTTGCACGTGCCGTAGGACAGGCATTCCGGCCTGAGCATCGGTTTTCTTTGAGGTTCTCTCTCTTCACACTGACCTTACCAGGGAGGCTTACCCTAAAGAACAAGAACTTCAGTGAACAGACAGAACATCTTCCCTAGACATACCAGTCCAAACTTGACTAAGCTATGGCCTCTGCATCTGATTCACATTCCTTCCCGAGCAGGCCCTTTCAGCATTCTCTCACAGGGCAACCCTTTTCCTCAACAACTGGTAAGACTTGGAAGACACAGTTACGTCTGCTCTTTTGTCTTTATTCTTTAGAAAGCAAGTTGTGTACCCGACTGGCTCAACACTAAGGCTTTCTAATGTGATTAACTGCCACTCTGTGCCTTTAATTACAAGAAGGAATCAATTGCTGCCCTTCCAATGCAATTCCAGTAATCTGCACACTTCACTTTTTTGTAATCCTTAAGCATTTCAAAGTCAGTTTCCAGTTCATATCTTGACATGTAAAGTAACAGGCCATTTCTCTACAGACCCCTATGCTCTGCCCTCGATGTGGTATTCTCTTCTGTAGCTGCCTACTCTACCTCTTTACCAAGTCTATTCTGAGAACCCAACACATGCTAGATTCTGCGGGGCTAGAGAGAACTCAGCACACTCTTAGAGAACTTCTGGTCTAGTGAGGGTAGGCAAGCTGAAATCGAACAGCGCTAGAATATTCTAGCAATAGAAAGGAGCGCGGGGTTTAGACTTGAGTGGAGTCAGGGGTCAGGTCAGAGCTGCCACGTGAAGGAATGCTAAAAGGTACTAAGCAAAATAAAGACCTAGGTGCAGAATGGCCTTCAGACAGAAGAACAGCATGTGCAAAGACAACGGTAGAAGGATCTGGACCCAGCAGGCCGGCGCAGAGTAGAAAGAACACAGGGAGCAAGGCTGAACAGGTAGGCAAGACCACTAAAGGTCTTGCTGGTTCTCCAGCCACTGCCCAATGAGGAATCAGAAATCATTAATCTAGGCTGTGAAGACCGCTCGTTCAAAGACTATTTTCTGAATACCTATATAATAGGAATTTGCCAATCAACCAAAATTCAGAATAAAAGACCAGACAAAGTATTTTCAGTTTGTACTCTGATGGGAGCAGACTAGTAAAAACATACACCTTGCTTGTCCTAGCGAGAAAATGGAGATGCAGTTCTAATGTAAGGGAGAGAAGGCAGGGTCAGAGGGAGGGGCGGCATGCTCCTTTACTCATAGGATGACTGAACAGAGAGCTAAAGGAGACGAGGAACTGCTTACAAGGACTACGAGAGAAGAACTGGCTACAACGAATACTAAGCACAGGCTAAGTGCCCACTCTCCAAGGCCAATGTCAAAACGCTGGAGTAACTAAACAGCTTTTTCTTTTACCTTTAGGCTGGAGAGAGGTCTGACATAAAGGAGACTTGTTACCTGGTTGCCCTTTCAAAACAAGCCCTTTAGGGCTGCAGCTCAGTGTTAAGAGCGGCTGCTTAACACACACCAACCCTGGGGTTCAATCTCCCAACACTGGAAACGGAATTCTTCTGCATACCGTACTGAAGACAGACTGAGGAGGAGGAAAGGGCCAGATCTGATGGGAGAGGATGCTGTAAGTCAGACAATAGCACCGTGCAGAATTAACTACGAAGGTAAAGATGACAGGGTACGCCAGTGTCGGGGAGGTGTAACAGGAGACAGAGACGAGAGTTAAGGATGATCCTAAGGCTTTTGGCAACTGAAATAACAGAATAATCCTTATGGGCATGAAGAACGCTGAGAGAAGCGGGGCTGAGGGTGGAAACTGAAAACTTTTGTTTTAGATGCATTAGTCGGAGGTACCTGTTAGAAATCTAATTAAAGGTTTGCACATTCTGATATCCCAGGTATGTGAGTATTGCTATGTTCCATAGGTATGAGTCTGGAGTATGGGGAGGAGATTTGGCTTTGGGCATAAGTCACGAAATGGCATACAGATGTTTTCAAGGTCACAAGACAGAATGAGATCACCTGCAGTGCAGAAGTCAGAGGAAGAAAGGAGGTCTGACACCTGAGAACGGGGACAATTTCAATAGAAATGGATTTTAGATAAACGGCAAGCTGGTGGAGTCACCAGAATGAATTCAGCTTTAAACTGTCCATCTCTTAGGCCGAGGACAAAACTGTCCTCAAAAAAACAAGGAAAACTTTTCCAACGAGTAGCAGATAGTCTGGGGGGAAATCTGGGGACCTGGGGAGCCCACTCCTCTTGTAGAAGGATGCTCTACTACCCTGTGCTTTGGATAACCAGAACATCAAGCTTCCCATCCTTTACAACTTTATAAATGTTACTGCTTCTAAGTGGATCTCAATCACATACTTCCTGTACACCTTGAAGGTTACGAAGAACTCCTTTCAGTGACCCAGGTGATCAGGACTGGGAGGCAGCTATCTGTGATAGTGGTTAGGTGGTAACAAGAGGACACCCTCCAGAAATACCGGAGTAACCCTGTTAGGACTTGGGAGAAAGAGGTCGAGGGAGGACACAACGATGACTCCTAGGTTTCTGATACACAGTATGGGATAGCTGATACTGTCAACAACCCACTACTCGGGGAAACTTCAACCAAAGTGGATTAAGATTCTATTCCATCTTGACACTTGGTACTGGAGCTCGGGACAGAAGTGAGCCTGAAGAGACCAGCTGCAAGTTTCCTGCCAGGAAGGTAAAACTGCTGACACACATGGAGCGGGCTGTCTGAGAGACGATGTCTTAGCAGGAGACGTGCTCTAGCAGTGACCTCTTAGATGCTGACATATTTACTAGCTGGAAGGAATACGCTGAACATGCTAAGGATGCTAAGACACAGGAGTGAAGAAAAGAGGTATGGAAAGATCCAGAATACAGCATGACAGAAGCCAATGGAGATGCCATTCTGGGAGGGAGCAGTCATGGCAATGTTTAGCAAGCTTTTAAACTAGGATGTGCTTATGATATATCATCTTTGTCTTACCAACAGAGCTGCTGGTACTATGCGTTTCTCTCAGAGCTTTCTGCAACAATAGTTTATAAAAGCACCATACGGATCAAGCTCTAATTTTAAGACAGCAAGGCTGATAGACTCATTTGAATAAGCTGTACTTCCGCAGCACCCGTGATGCCAGCATTTGGGAGACTTGGGCAAGAAGACTGCTGTGAGTTTGAAACCAGCCTGGACTACAGAACAGAACCTTACTCAAAATAACAAAACCAAAGCAATCATGCTGCCAGCTCTGAAGGGAACGTGGAAAGAAGCCAGGCCCTGCACATGCAGCACTGCCCTGGGCTGGCTTCATCAGCTCACGATTTACCCTCTACTCAGTGCCAGAGCCAGCTAGGGGTAGTGCATCTGAAAGCAGGCACCATCCCTAAGACCCTACAGGATAACTAAGGAAGAGGAGGGGCCATTTGAAGCACTTATTTTCCAGAGTCCGTAAGGCTAGCTGTCCTCAAGCTCCGTGGTATGCTTTGGCTACTTCTCACCTCAGCCAGGCACGTGTGACATGTAGAAAGTCTCTTCTGTAGTTGAGAAGAGTCAACACACAGCCTACTGCTTTCCTAAGCAAGATGTGAGACACGAGCTCCCCAAAGGTTCAGATTTTCTAAAGAATTCCAAGAGAGAAATCCTTGTCTTTCTAAAGGGCAGTTAATTTTTAATGGCAGTCATCCCGCTCACTTACAACTAAAGAGGTACTCATGACTCTTGTCACAGCACATGGCAGATGACAAAGGCGTAGCCCTCACCTAGTGAGGACTGAGTGGAGGAATGCCACTGAAAATTTCCACTTGAACTGCATGTTCTCTTCCGATACTTAACATCTCAGAGCTACAGAACTATGAGTCAATTCTAGTCAAAGAAAACAACACAACAACTTAAACACACAACAACTTAAAAAGTATGGAAGAATTGCTATTAGCGTCAACACAACAGAGGTCACACTGAAGAACACAGGGTGCACACTCTGTTCCACTTGACAGAGCCCCAACTTTCCCAATAGGCAGTTCCCAAGGGCCTTCTCGGGGGTCAGTCGGAGGCCTTCCCAGATCAGGGACTGCTGGACAGGCTTTTCCCACCATCCTAGGTTTACTACTGACAGGTTTCACGGTAAAAAACGGTACACAGCAAGTGGAAGCTAATGCCATCTGATTTTGGACAGCACAAGTGAAAGGAATGGTGGGTGATTAACTGTGTATGACTCTAACCTTGTCTCTACACTTCTCTTCCAATTCTGCCCCAGAGCCAACATGGCTCCCCCACTGCCTCTCTGTCCACCCATTTCCCTTTGTTTCTCTGGATTCAGTGTGGAAGGAAGCCGCTACACAGAAACTGACTCTTATTAAACTCACAATGGCTAAATCCTGCCCCTCTGTGAAAGTCCAACATCACCAAACCCATGACGCCTTCCCTGAACCTTATAACTAGGAGAATCTTTTCCTGAGCATGTAAGTCCAGCAACCAGCCTATGCCTCTGTAATATCCAACATGCTCTACCTTACATACAGTTATACTCACTCACACTTTTATAATGAGTGCATGTATGTGTATGTATATGTGTATGTCTATACATATACAACTTATATCGCAGAGTATTTATTCCCCTGGAGAAGAAAAGTGACCAAGAGATAAGTGATTAGTTAAACAAGCACACATCTGGGCCTGCTGTTCCTCGTTCTCTGGCCGTTCTCCTGCAAACTTCTGAGGAGTAACTGAGGATGCTCACCGTCAGGTGTCCTTCGTGGTGGTCTGGGAAATGAATGAACAGGTACTCTGTGGCTACCAGCTGCATTATGGAGTCACCCAGAAATTCCATCCTCTGATTGTGGCCTCTGAAAATGAAACACCACTGTAAATAAACCAAGAAGTACTTGTGGATTTAAAAAAAAAAAACCACACACATAATTTTTAAGATTACAGCCTAAAAATATCATTTGTTCATTTTGTTTTGAAGCATAAAACTAAACGTAGTGCCCTGACACCCTCAACTATGGGGAAATTCTAAAAATAATTTTTTTTTAAAAAAAAATGTAATTTTTATTTAATCATGGGTATGTGTGGTGTGTGTTTATGTATTTGTGTACAAGTACATGCACACAAGACCAGAAGATCATCTGATCCAGGTGATTTATTTTGTATCTGACTCTAACTGAACTCAAGCAATAACCATTCTTAACTGCTAACCCATCTTTCTGGCTCCAAAGGGAACACTTTATGGATAAGTGACTACTAAGTTAAGATCGGTGAACAACACCTGGCCAAAAGCAGAGTGCAATCAATTGAAAAATAAAGTAAAATATAAAACAATACTCTTGAAGGAAAAGAGCTCCTAATTTTTTAATTTACAAATGTTTACAAAATCTCTGTCTTTAATCTTACAGTTTAAACAGAGTTGGGGATTTTCCACTCATGGGAAAGGGAAACATTTTATATTCCACGCCCACGCCCACACACTCACCTACAGTTTTGCTAATTTTCTCTCTCTCTTTTTTTCTTTTTTGCTGCTCTGAGGACTGAACAGGGTTTTAATCTCTAGTAAAGTTTTTCGTATTTTCAATTTCAATAGTCTCAACAAATCTATCTAAAGTAGGAGTTAGAACGCCATATCCAGTCACAGCCTATTTGAAAGTTTTACTACAGAGTGGTCACTTTTTTTTTTTTTAATCTATGGCGATTTTTAAGGTACTATGACAAATCGTGACAAACAGACTACATGGTCTTCAAAGCTTATAACTCTTAATCCATGTCTCAGCGTGGACAAAGGGTTTACTTCCTTCAGATCTCATGGACTTCAAGCCATCAAGATGTATAGCAATGGAACCAAAGGCTTGGGAAAGAGAATAGTCTCTGATCCACACCACTGCTTGGCTGCTGTCTCGCCGTGCGACTCTCCTGCAGTGTGTCTGCCCTCTCAGTTCCTGTGAAGGGCAGGAAGGTTTGGAACCCCTCCTCTAAGTGGTCAGGTAGGGGCTACACAAGCATTCTCCACTCACAGGGTCAGGTGGTTAAAGCCCACAGTTCTCAGTGTGAATGCCCTCGCCAGAAGCCGGACGTGGGTGAACATCACGCCAATTGCGTCTTCGAACTCCGTAAGTTTCTGTAGAACTGGGGAAGTTTCAATAAGTTGTCGATCCGTGTTTGGCTCTTGTAGCTTCAGAAAAAAAAAAAAGAAAGAAATTAAAAATCACAGTTTTAGTTATAAGAGTAATTATCAATTCTTGGACACTGTTCTGTAAAATTCCATCTCCCATGGGCAGAAATTTCGGAAATGCCAAATAAAACCTGAAAGCCTCTTTCTCATCTCTTAGAACAGCAAACAAACCTAATATTTAAAGAAGGCTCAAATAATATTTTCCAATCTTCATTCAAATTTCAAGGCCAAGTTCTGTACATAGATAGTTCAAAATCTCTGGTATTAGACTAACTCTCTAAGGAAGACACACGCTGAAGAACAGCTGCCGCGTGCATGCATGTGTGTGTGTGTGTGTGTGTGTGTGTGTGTGTGTGTATGTCTGGAATGAATGATGGGAACTGGTCTTTTCTGACAAGTTTCTAGGAAATGGGATGCTGCTGTCTGGGAACTGCCCTTCCAGAGTTTCTGATTTTAGAGTAACTTGGACTACTGTGCATCTTGAACATACTGTGCAAACGGTTTTGGCAATGAGCATCATTAAGTCTGAATTTAGCTTCTGGTGGATATTACTATTCCTCTAGACAGGTGCTGCTCCAGGTAACAAGCCTCTAACAACTGGCAGAGAAAAAACTTAAGACTAGAATCTTTTTACAGCGCTGAATTGCCATTTACTATCATAAACCCTCGATGAACATCTGATCACTATTATAAACAGTGATTACTATTCTTAAATACATATTTAAACATAACATGTGTAACTAGTGGAAATACACGTAACCTAAACTAAAGCAGAAAGCAAAGCAAAGCAAAGCAAAAGCAGAGCAAAGCAACTTTTAAAGCTATCCAAGGAAAAGCATGTCACCATGTATAGATCTTTTACATTTCTAAATCCCAAGTAAAAAGCAATCATACAGCACTAAATCTTTAATCTGCAGTAAGTTTTATACATTCTGAATCAACTTCCAAAGCCCAAACCAGGTTAAAATTAGCAATATTCATTTAGTATTTGTTCTACTTTTTTAACCATGCCTAAAATCACCTCTAACATCACTTTCCCTCCAATGGTAGGCATGTGGCGAGCCAGCTCCCACACTCCGTACGGCACCTGTGGAGGGAGGGCCATTCCTCCACAGCTGCTCTGCTGTTTGTCTCGTCAGGAACACCCCCCCACACACACCCCCCGTGCTTACCAGACCACGTGAGGACACCTGTGGATTTTACTATTTATTTCTGAAATTTCCCTGACACCTAACACAAAGTCATACTTCTGGGGAAGAGAAGAGAGTCTTAACGGTGGGGCAGGGAAGGGAATGGCGGCCATGGAGTTGCAGGGCTCACTGCAGACACAGTTGTACTCACTTGGAGTGGGTGGAGAGGATAATTGAGCCAGACTTCTCGAAGGTCCTGGAAAATGGAAAGATGTCGTTAGTGCTCAAGGGAGTCATTTAACACACTCTAGAGTGCTAAATAAAATGTCATTATTGGAAATACTCGACTATTTCAGATGCTGACTCCACTCACTGCCGATTCAATGGTGCTAGCAAACTAATTTTTTACAAGTGTATTCACCACTCCAACTGCCTGTAGTGACTCTAATTAGCCTATTAAGCGGGGGGGGGGGGGGGGCGGAGGAGAAAAAAAGCCCTTTATAACAAAGTTCCATGTTTGCTAAACTCAATACACTGGATTACACGACTGTCACACTCACACCCCAATACACTG